ACCGTATCAAAAATTTAGACCAGTAGGTCCTGACTATAGGTCACACAGTACAGATCATCAGAATAAGTCAGTGTGTGAAGACTAGTGTTATTGTGTCCAGAGGGTACAGCTTCAATTTTGAAGTATCTTGTATACCATAATTATAATTGCATCAGAGGCCCTACATTTCTATAATGAGAATATGATATACCGTATCAAAAATTTAGACCAGTAGGTCCTGACTATAGGTCACACAGTACAGATCATCAGAATAAGCCAGTGTGTGAAGACTAGTGTTATTGTGTCCAGAATGAACAAGCAATGCATCACCTCTCTGCATTTCTAGAAATTATTCTAAATGAAAACTTAATCTCTAAAGAATCACGGCCATTCCTGACACTTTATTTGTATTAAAAATATGGACAAAATGAAAAGAATAGAAACAGCAGGAATTGAATGGTTGAAGAAGTCAATTTTAGAATACATTACACAAATGAATTTCAGGAGAAATATGTTGTTTGGAAGTGTCAAAGAAAAATTAATAATAACTAGAACAGATCAGTATTCATTTAGGGTCTGTCTGACGATATTGTTAGTGTTTCCTTGAGACAAAAATATCAATATTTATTCATGTAATTGCCTACCATTGTCTTTGGTTTAACGATTCCCTAAATCAGGGTTGTCCAACTGGCTACCAGCAGGCTGCATGAGGCCCACGATGCCATTTATTGTGGCTCACAAAAGATTATCATAAGGTTATAGTCAAAAGTGAAAGTCTCTGTCATCCATGTCGGATGCGAACATTGTTAACCTAGTGCACTCTCCCTGTTTTAATATAAAAATAGGTTGATTAGAATTAAGGATTATTTTCTGCTAAAAAGATATTCAAAATCATCCCAATGTTTTTCATGGGCATTACACATGGTACGGTCTGATATCATGCATGGTTCCATCACACACACACACACGCCCGTTTCAGAGCAGCCAGGCAAAGTACCAAGATCCACATAAGTGGGAGATTGGGTGTGGATTGCCCTAGAAGTGAAAATATGGCCCGCAACCACATTAAATATTTTAGTTGAGGCCATTGAAGCATTGAACTTTAGAGATCCCTGACCTAAATAAATGTAGTTTGTTTTTTTTTTAAACAAAATTCAAGGTACTCATTATTTAATTTTTTTTTTTAAATCACAAGAAACATAGAAAATGTAAAAAAATATTATTCTGCTAATCTGACATTGAAATTAGGTACTACGAATATTGTTATAATTTGTCAAATATAACAACTGACAGCAATTAAAATGTAATTTAATCTTTCGAGAAATGAATTTAAAATAATAAATTCAGTGAATCATTCCAGAATATACAAATTACTTATTCTTATTCAGTGCTGACCATATTTGACTTTATTTTCACTTTAAAAAATTTGTTTACTAAAAAACTGTTAAAAAACTTGGATGTTCAAATTTCAATGTTTTTCAAAAAAATTATGAGATATTTATGAGAAATTTATTCATATTCTGCTATCTCCTGCTTGCATTTAAAACTGATGGTACAAATCATTTATATTTGGTGCACAGTCTGATTTGTTTCAGACAAAGTTGAGTTTATCTTCAGTACTTCTTAGTCAGCCCCCACCCAGCCTCACAGTGTCTGCTGTGAACCAAGTGCCACCAGTCTCCATGTCAGCTCTGGTGTCAGCGGTTCGCTCTCCAATTCTCCACCCTCCCACTCCAAACATTGGAGGTCCTATCCGCAGGCGCATCAGTGACAAGTCAGCACTTTCTCTGTCAGGAGGTGAGAAGATTTTTATATAGCTTCTAGAAGTTTTCCTCTTGTTAAGGAACCTCTTTTTAATAGTTGCCTGTGTGTATGTCACTTCATCTGCCAATGTGTATATGTGCAAAACTATACACATACTATATTTTTTTTATGAACAATAATTCACATTCAAATTTCCAGAAATTAATTTTTATATGAAATTGTAAGCAAATAAAAAATTAAATAGTAGGTATTATAGATTATTAGCATTTAGATAGATATTATTACACATGGCTTCACTTTTTTAAATTTCAATTAACATTTTTCGGTTATTTTCATTTTTATTCCATCAAATTTACCTTGTTCTCAACTTTCTAATTTTATTAAGTTAATTAGCTTTAAAGCAAGTTAAATTTTCTATGTGAATATTGAATTTTTCATTTATTTTTTTTAACCTCTTTTCAATAAATATTTTATTAATTGATTAAAAAGAGGTTAGACAATTTTGTTTTGTTACAGTGTGTCTGATTTTATTTTTGAAATTTGTTCTATTTTTGATTTTTCAGATTTAAAAATTGTTTTGCTGAGTTATATTTTTGTAATGTGTAGAAAAGAGTTGATTAGTGCACTTTTGGTTGAAACAAATTTGTATTTCTTACTTTGTTTTTTTCTGTTTCTTGCTCTCAAAACTTGCATTTACTGAAAACAGTGGGCTATTTTCATCATCCAGGTATTTAATCATTTCTTAATTATTTTTCTACAACATAACTTTAAGAGAATTGAAATTCAAGACAATTCATTACAACCAGAAGTGCACTTACCAACTTTCCATTTTTGATTTTCCATTAAGAATGAATTTCAAAATCAAATCTAGTTTTGCCAAAATTATAATATTTCATCTTAATCAAGTTCAATAAAAAATTGAATACATTATATTCAATAATATTTAGATAAAAATTATAAAGTATTTGTCTTTCTGCCCATAAAATAAGTGAACAAATAATATCACAAAAAGATGAGTTTTGAGTCTGGGAAGAAAGCAATTGGTTCTTAGCTTTACACTTAGCATGAACTTCCCTCTCCTGTAGGCTCATTTGAAGAGGCTCCCCTCAGGCGCCGAGTGGCAGACAGGGCAGCCTTAGATATCTCGGAAGGTAATAATTCTGTGTAGTGTGCCAAGGCATCTGTTGTCATCTTGTTTGGGATTGCTTTCTGATACCACCCTCTCTTCTTTTTTTCTGTGCCTCTTTCTTCTGGCTGCTGCATTGCTATAGGCCTGCCCTACATGCTGGAAAGGGCAGGGCTCGACGTGCAGCAAGGTAACTCATTTTGTCCTCTCACGACTGCAACCCTCAAAGAAACATCTTTCTTTCCTTTCATTGTAATACTCTATTTTTCACATCTGCAGGGGTGTAACATGCATGTCTTAATATTTATGTGTTAATGTTTTATTTGTGTAACTTACATGTTAAACAATTCCTTCTGTTGTCCTATTGTTGTGACACTCCTCATTGGATTTTTTTTTTTTATTAGAAATGAATTACCCTTTCTGTGTAATGTTTTCCTATTGTATTTCCCTAAATGCCCTTCCCTAATCGTTCTTCCTTAAATGTGGGGAAAATTATGTTTCTTCTTTGTAGTGACTTGCATTATTTTCTTTTAGCATTTAGTATAAATATTGCATTTCCTGAACAAAATGTCCTGACTCAAACATCAACTGTTATGAGATTTATAGTAAGAAAAATAATATATTTTAATGTAATGCACTATCTGAAATAGAAACTCCATGCCTAGGGTTAAGTATTCAAAAGCTGTAATTCTCAAAAGAAAACAGAGCTACATGCATCTTTCGTTTCCCTCATTGGTAAGTCATATAAATTAGTTGTGACATTTTTCTCATGGAGAAGCAGTATTTTTGCATGTTTTTTAAATCAAAATTGAACTCTAGGAGATCAACTTTTTTTTTCTAGTCAGGGAATTGTGGATGCACAGAAGAAACTTACATTATTTTATATTAAAAAAAACCTAGACCTGAAGGGAAAGGTAGAGTCAGAATTTTTCATGAAATTATACAAAACCATATCATCTGAAAGTAAAAGTAAGAATTCTTTTATTTCTTTTTTATTCTAACAATTAGTAAAGGCTTCTGTAGCTCTGTGAGAGCATGAATAGTCAATAACAACTGAACAATTGTGTTTTATCAACATGTTGATGCCTATCAACATCTCCCTCTTAAGATGATATGTTTCCATATTATATTTTTTCTAGATACATTCATTTGTGCTCCAAAATTGCTTGATACAAAGTTATGAGTTATAATAAATGCCATTTCAATATTTTATACATGATTGGCTGTGCTATTTTTTCAAAAATTTAATTTGAAGTATGAAAGTACTCAAAAGTAAAGAAATCCTGTAGTTGCAATGCATCTTAATAGTATTGTCTCCATTTTAAAAGAAAAAAGGTGTTTTATATTTCTATGTTTTCAAAATAGCTCATATTGAGGTAAGATCTGTTTCACCTGAAGAGTGTAATAATTTACTGTTTTGTATATCTCAACTGAGATAATGTTTCTTTTGAAATATATTTTCATTCTTAAAACACCTATTTAGGAAAACTGAATTAGCAATTGTGATTAAACTTTTAAGAAAAGAAAATTAAGAAGATAAGAAAATAAGAAAAAGAAGATAAGAAAATCTTGTGCTGATGATATTCCAAATGGTTTTCTTAATGATTGAGAATTGTAGTCATAAATAAATTTATCCTTCTTTGAGAAAATAATTCTAAAACATTGGTCTTAGTATTCTTATTTTTAGAATTTCTTTTTAACCTTGATTCTGAAAAATCCATGGTGCTTAGGCCTGTATTAAAGTTTTTGTTTGTTTGTTGTTGTTTTTTGGTGCTGATATAATATTTGTTTTATATTACAGAAATTCAAAGAAATCGTGAGTTCTACAAAAATGCTGATGTTCGACCACCTTTCACATATGCATCTTTAATTAGACAGGTAAAAAAAAAATTGACAACCATTTTTATGCAATTTTTCAAAATTATTAATTTGTTTATTACTAAATTGTTTAATTATTGATTTTATAGTTTTATGTAGAGATGTGATTTCAAATTTCCCTGCTTACAGGTGTTTTGTTGCTTCTTTAATCTTTTATCGTTGTATATGTAATGTGCAATTTATATAAAATGTGTGTTTGATTCTTAAGAAAATATTATGAAATTATGTGGTGATAATGTTTTAAAATAATTAATAAATACTTTTCTGATGTATTTCTTTTTGTGCACTTTCCAGGAATTTCATTTATATTGTTTTGTATGAAAAGGTATGAGTTGTTAAATTGTAAAAATTTGTATATTATATGATGTGAGAGATAAGAGTGTTTTGTTTGTTTCAGAGTTGAAGAACAAAAGATATTCTGTATATTTGTTGTAAATGTTAGTATTTAGAAATTCAATATTTTCATTTTTTTATTAATGTTATTTTTTGTCTTTCTCAGTCCATCATCGAGTCTCCTGACAAGCAATTGACGCTGAATGAAATTTACAACTGGTTCCAGAACACCTTCTGCTACTTCCGGCGTAATGCAGCTACATGGAAGGTACAGTGCCATTTATATTCTTAATAAATGCAGTATTGTGCTACATTTATGATCAACATAAATATATCACTTCATTTTACCATACAATTTTGAAAGTTATTACTCAGTTTTGATGCTTGTAACCCGAAGAAATCTTTGCACTAACAATATCACACCATTGATTTGATAAGAAATACAAACAATATTTTTGTAATTTTTAACCTAAAATTTTCCCATGTGAAATTATGAAATTCTGTTGTGTTAAAGCTCAATTTTTCTTATATGTCATAAATTAAATGGTGATGGAAAAAAGTGTTGACATACTTGTAGCCTTTTCTGTATATTTTATACTTTTAAAAGTTCTAGCATAGTTCAAACTGAAAAATGTCTATGTGGAACATCTAAATGTCTCTTTAAAGGAGTCTCACTTCCTATGACATTTTAGGACGTATGGTGTGCAAGGTACTGTATATTTATTTTCTACTATAATATTATTGTTAACAAATGTATTATCAACCTGAATTTCTTTCAGAAACATCTTTGTTATAAGTATACTTTCAAGTGATAATGATAGTCAATTAAATTTGTATGACAATGTACACCAATTAATATGGAGCAGACTAATATAACAATGTCTTCTATTCAGTGTATTTTTAAGAATCTTCTTTTTGTGACAAAGTGGAAATTTTGAGTGGGATTTGTGTTGACTCCTTCTATTATATATTCTTTTGATGAAATACTATATAAAATGGGCAGGAATACAGGAAATTTAAGATTACAAGGAAAAGCCCTAGAATATTTTGTAAACCTCCGCAATGCACATAGTATGATTATAAAGGAAGCCAAAGAAGCACCTGCAACATTTAGGGTTAGCATTCGCTGGTGCATGTGGACATAGGTCAATTCTCAGTGAGAGGAGATTCAGTTCCTTAGGACTGGCAACATATTATAAAATTAACATAAATAGAAAAATTAAATGTCATATTACCTTCCTTATACTGCATTGTCATTATAGCAAAAATCTTTCTGTATTTACCAAACTCATTTTTTAAATAGATCATAAACAATACTAATATTGAAGCTGTATCTAAAATATCTTTTTATCAAGAACATTTTTTGAAGTGCTAGTAATGTTTCTCAGAGTTAAATCTATGCATTATTGCAGTTTGATTTGTTTTCTGGTATTGGATGTCAGAGCTATAAATCTTACCTATGGAATACTGTTCATTAGCTACAAATTATTACTACAGGCTATGCTGACACTCCTCTTCAGAAAATATTTAACCATGCTTTACATATAACTTAAAATACGTATTCCTTACATATTTGTATTAATGGCCTAACATGTTTTCACTTGTACCTCTCTCTGTAACATTACCAAAGAGAGAAAAAGAATAGAATTAAATCAGAAAAAACATTGAATAGTAGAAGTAGAAATTTATTGTGGATATTAATTTAGTTTCTCCCAGATTAGCAATCCCATTTAACATATTTTTATTTGTATCTGTTTGAATTGCCATGTCAGCATATTTTATTAACGTAACATGTTTTGCATTGCTCACCTTCTCCACAATGCACTTGGAATATATATTCGAAATTCAATTTCTTTTCAAAACTCGGTTTTAAATCAAGTACATAGCTAGAATAAGTGTAGCTCCTCCCAAAATGAAAATAAACAAATCTTAGTTAGGGGTCATCCATAAATGACATACTGTTAAAAATTCGGGACGGTGTTTGAGGCAATGTTACTCTGCATTACATGGGGATAGAGGGGTGTTACTCTAATGTTACACAGATATTGTTTTTTATTTATTATTCAACATTTGCTGAAATAATTCCTTTTATTAAGTCTTACATTAAAACACTATAATATTAACAAATTAATTGAAAAAATATAAATAAATTAAAAAGTTATGATGTAAAAATGTTTACAATTATTTTTGATTATAAATTATTATTTTTTTACCAATGGTATATTGATTAATTCTTATATTATGAAGAAAATATTTGAAACTGATCTATAGTATATTCTAGAATTCAATTAAATTATGTAGATTAATGCAGAATCCAATTAACAGTACATTCTTGCCCATGCATCCTCCAAGACAGCGTGTCCACTCGCCTTTTAACCGTGTAACCTTTTTTCTAAACCTTGCATAAATGGGACACCCAGGGCTACATAACTCGATTTCAGTAAGAATAAACAGCATATTTTACAGAGGAAAAGTTGCGAGAGCAAGATGACAAACAAAGCTGTAATTTTACATACTTCATTTTAAAGCATATATTTAACGTATATTTATAGCACTCAATTCTACCTAATCATTACAGCAGAATAATAACATTAACCTCGACAGGTTTGATAGAACACATTGAAAATCAACTAGCTACTTAACTTCTGTTGAGGTATTCTGGCATCATGAAAATTTAACACAAGTCATTCATGCACCATTTTAAACATTTCTTGTGAGACACACCATGGAACTCACTCAATCTTAACCACATAACACTATCACATTAGGCATTCAAGGTGTAGGATTATTAGCTAACAGTGACAATATGAAAAAATAGCGAAAAATACAAAGCTATCAGCCCACATTCCCATAGTCTTCACCAGAGCATCAGTTCTCTCCTCCTGCATGTGTACCTTTTGTCCACCATTTGCCCCCCAAATAATTCAGTAAAGAATGTGATACCTATCCTCCTATTTACAATATACATTATTGTACATGGGAGGGAAGGTACTGCATTCTTTCCATAATTATTTGGAGGGGGTCAAGCACATGTTAAAGGTATGTTACAAGGGGTACTGAGGGTATTTGAAATGTTCCAAATTTGCGTTATGTAATTTTTGGATGGCCTCTTAATGTTAACAGATCATTTCATGGCTACCTTTATGTTCTAGTTGTTAATTGAATTTTACATTAGTGCAGAATATACTGTACATATATGATTGATATCAAGGTCTTTCTCGTTTCTGTAGATGAAAAATGTGTAAAAAGTTTGTGTCATTTAAGTCTTGAATATTCTTACATCAAAAGTTAACTTGTCAAGTTTCACCAAAGGAAAGTTCTGTCTGCGGCACTGGTTTAATTTTAATCTATGGTACTTTAGAAAATTTTGAATTATAATGAATTATTTGTTGGTTAAAAAATGTTTTGTGAATGATTGTTTCTTTTAATGAATTGTTATAGCAGATATAAATTGAAGATTTTTTTTTGTCTTATTTCATATATTTTTTGCTTAAATGTACAAAAGGCCATGTTGGAAGCTCTTAGGTCTACGTTGAAATGGTATTAGTACCATGGATCCATTTTATGGTACTGAAAAGTGATAAACTTGTATAGTACCTACTAAGTAAAAGCCAAATTTTCATTCTCTGTGTTTTGGTTCACGAGAATAATATACCAGTGACAGCTCCTTGGGGTTGGTGAGGTTGGCAGGGCTTACCCTCTTATTAATTTATTTTCTTATCCAAATTAGTAGTTTTCTTCAATGTTCTAATACTGAATAAAATATATTTCAAATAAAATCAATATTATATATTGTATCTTATTGGTTGATTTCTGACTATTTAAAATTTCTCAACAATATAATGAACAAATTTTATTCTCTTTAACTTTGGAATCACATGACCTCACCAGACATCAGAAGCTTTGGGAAATCGCTGTTCGATGCCACATCACCACAGAATGGGACTTGTCACAATGGTGTTGAAGCTTCAACATAAATGAAATAGAATCCTGCGAGTTCTCCTGCAGGCTAATGCAGTGTAGTGATAAATAGTTTCATTCTACAATTGAAAATTGCCTATGCTGAATCACATTAAACAACATTTTTATAAAAAATTACTTTTTTTTTCATAAGGACTAAAATCTAAGGTTGCCAGGTCTGCTTCCAAAAAATAGCGGACAAGCAGGGGGAGGAGGAGGCTCAGCAGCACTGAAATTTAAAAAAAAATTACAAGAAAATTATATCTTTTTTTACAAAAATGTTAATACGTATTGAAATAATCCCCTTGAAACTTTACTTAAAAATTCAAAACATCAAATATATTATTATAATAATAAGTAAAATATTAAATTACATTTTACTTTAAGAAATTGGTACAAATTATATTGAACGTTTATGCTTACAATGCTTCAACGAAATCTTTGGTTTGACAAATGTACACTCTGCATATTGAGGCATTAAACCTCAAATGATACGTTATTGAGTGTTCTGAAACATACCTATCCGACTAAGAAAAAAGTATAATATAAAAATAATAGGTAAATGCGAGAAAAGAAATATAGTATGTAAATTTTTCTATATACTTTTATTAAATGTCTTCTGAAACAATTGAGAATGATTAATAATTTTTTCGGAGAATCGAGATCCGTGGATATTCGAATTTTGTCTCATTCTAACTTCTGAAAGAAAAAAGGCAGCGTGTGATTCTCCTATTCATATTCTCTTAGACTGTACAGTTTTAGATTACGTACCATTTCATTATAAAGCTTTTGAATTAAAAAAAAAATATCCACTATTTTGTGAAAAAAAATAGTAAACATAATAAAAACGGACTGTTCTCTCAAATAGAGGACGGGTGGCAACCATACTAAAATCTACCAAACATCATATGAAACATACGAAGGTATGTCAAAAAGTATCTGCATTCAATGTTTATAATTGATTAGAACAACAGTACAAAATTTACAATGAGACCATTCTTCGACATACGCATGATACTTTTCAATGTACTGTGGCCATCATAGCACCAGCTTTACGATACCTTTAGAAAAAAGGATTTTCAATTGACCTGCAAGCCATGTTGCACTGCTTCCTCACTTGAGGGTCGGAGGCAAATCTTTGGCCATTTAAAACGTCTTTAAGTAGATCAATAGGTGGTAATTAGAGGCGACAAGATCGGAACTGTATCCGGTTTGCTCTGACCCCTTGAAATACAGATTTCGAAGAGCTTGGTCGACGGTATGTGGATGCGCGTTGTCGTACAACAAAAGGTTGCCTTTCGACAATCC